GAAAGATTAATTTCTTCTTCGTTTCTTCTTCTGTTCGATCGATTAATTTTGAGTGTTATTTTCGAGTTCCATACTTCGAAAGATTATTTGAATCCAACTTATAAAAAAAAAAAAAAAAAAAGAAAAAACTAAAGCAAAGATTCGGAGAATTAAAAGAAAAAAGAGAGGGAAGGAGAAAATCACGCGAACGTATTTTTATCCGATGGGATAAAATTACACGGCGCAACGTTAAACAAGAACGTCCATCGCCGTCACGGATTCTAGGCAAATAGACGTCCCCGTAGACATCATTGAATCAAGTTTGATTAACGAGCTGCCCATTTAGGAGACTTTAGTCTCGAGGGATTATAAAACGGCGCTCTCGCCCCCGTTTGCTCGTCGATATGCTCTACACACAGGTTTACATAAAACAAGAGTCATCCGATGATGGACTGCTTGGGTCAGTGGTGACACGTTTATCGGCCGCGATATTCGCTACAATCGGTTCGATCATCGTTTCATCATCTCTTGGAAGAAGAAAATATTTTTCAGATCGATCTTTCTTGAATAATTAAGAAATGATACATATTTATATATATATATTTTTCTCATTTCTCGACGATATATCGTTCCAAATTAAACGATTTCTTCATTTTCGTTCGACCAATGTCTACTCCTTGTATCGAACAATCTTTCGTTTCGAATTTATATCTATATTTCTACATCGCGTTCCAAGAATTTCGATGAAATTAGCTTATCAACGAGGTCATCGATAGATCATAGATAAGTGCCTTATCATTTTCTGTAGCTCGATCAGAATGTGAAAATTCAGCCATTCCATTTTACGAAAGATAACGTTTCCTTCTATTTCCCTTCGGGGCATCGATATATCTTGAAATACCTGAGGAATCACGCAGCTCGCGTGTCGCAATAGGCGGTTGAGTTATCATCGAGGTGGAGAAAAATATATGGAAAAGCGTCGTACAGTTATGCACGAATATTCGCCTTCAAAAAATAATAAATTTATTTACAATTTCTCAAAAATGTTCATCGATACATTTTTACGATATAATAAATTTTTAATAATACCGTCTCTAATGTCTTCTTCTTTTTCTCTTCTTCTATCTATCTCATTCTCCTCGTACCGTAGTGTTATATATATTCATTTTTCGAAATTCGATCTTCATGTCCATCCGATCAAATAAGACACGTTAAATTAACATTTCGAGGCAAATTATACTTTGGAATAACAATTTTCAGGATAGCGATCGTTTCTATTTTTCGCCTCGGACAGAATCAGATCGCGATGAACGGCGTCGTACATCAATCATCGATCGACAAATTGTCGCACGCGACCCCTCTTTCTCTCTCTCTCTCTCTCTCTGTTCGATACGGCGTCGTTGACGAATCGTATTTGCCCGTAACAGGACCAAGCCGAGCCAATTTAATCCAATAACACGGTTTCAGTGGTCGGGCTTTGAACTGCACAGCAGGTAACATCGGCCACCTCGTGGGCCGACGAGTCTCCCCACTGGGCGACCCCTTGACACCTTTTCTCCTCGCCCATCTTCCTTCACGATTCTTCTCCGAGGAGAGAAACGTCTTCGTCTCTCTTCGTCTTTCCAACTTTTCCAATGTCGAATCAACTAGTAATGTCGCGGAGCAGTGTGGAACAATCATTTCATAGAATCAATCATTCGTCGTCGAAAATCAAAGATCACACGCACAAACGCACACACGCACATGCGCGCAATTTCAGGTGGGCAAAAGAAGACGAAACGATCCCGCACGGCGTACACCAGCGTCCAATTGGTGGAGCTCGAGAAGGAGTTCACGGTGACGAAATACCTGTGCAGGCCGCGCAGAATAGAATTGGCGATCGCGTTGTCCCTGACCGAGCGCCAGATCAAAATTTGGTTTCAAAACAGGCGTATGAAGTACAAGAAGGAGCAGCAACAAACGAAGCAGAACAATCCCGTTCAACGAGGCGGAGAAGCGATTGGAACCGACAGAGGCGATTCATCGCAAGTGCAAGTTAGAACCCCCATCTCAGCCGATAATTCAGTGAAAAACTGCGCGCAGAAGGAATACGTGCAGAGCGTGGATCGTGAGAACGCGCCTTTGGCCGATCATCGTCGGAACGACAATGTTGCAACGTCGCAGAACGTTGGTCAGAACGTGTGCTGCGGCCACGCGAATTCAACGACGCAACAGTATTGCCAGTTCGGCCAGTATCAATTACCGTTGAGCCAATCAAATTTCTTCAACGTTCAACGGGGACAGGAGGAGGAGATGGTTGGCTATCGTCAATATTCTCAGCAGTGGAACGATCAGTATCCTTGTGATCCGCCTTTACGGAATTACGATTACGATTGTGCGAACGCTTTCGTTGTCGGGGCGACGGGGCATAATTGTAATAATAATACGCAGGGGGTCGAGATGAGTAACTTCGAGTCGAACGGTTTCAATTTCGTCTCGAATAACAATTTGAACAATCTGGACGAGATTATACGGGAAAGCGTGTATCTCGATATTCAAAATTTATCGGACGACTTGATACAATTGTAAATTTCTCGCGTTTTCTCTTCTATCTATAACATCGAATCGAGCGTTTTGTAAAATGTGTATCTATAAGTATAATATGTAATAATAGTGATACGAAGTTATATAAGATTTCTCTTGAGTAATACGTTTTCTTAAGAGATACGTTTATTATAATTTAATTTATATATTGTAAAAATTTAATAAAATGTCATAATTTTCGTAACGTGTGTATCAATACTAGTTACGGACACGAGGGTTTCCCGTTCGACCAACGCAAATGCTTGGGCACAGTCGTGCGAGACTTGCCACGTCACCGGCACTCGGATCCGCGTCTATCTGTCAGTTTCCAGTCTCAAACAAGATGGATGGCTGGCGAATGGAAATCATGGTTGAAACCCAACCCCAACACCTTTGCATCCTTCCATCCAGTTGGCCAAAAGGGGAGAAAGGGAGACAGACACAGCCGCCCCGCGCTTCGATCTCGTATCATCCCCTTTCGCGTCTTTTGTGCCTTAAAATACAAATACGACGGGGGAAAGGAGATCGAAAACCTTCTTTTTCTTCTTCCCCTCCCTTCCATTTTTGATGCATCTCGAAATTTTCCTTCAAGATTTTCTTCCTTTTTTCGAGCAATCGGAAAGTTTCGAATTCCGATGATGGGAATACGTGAAAGATTCAATTTTTGAGGTTATGCGCCTCCTTGTCGCGGCCATATCGGATATATTCCGTATCTTTTTCGATAATTTCGTTTTTTCACACGAGTGTCGCTAGTCGAACTAGTTTATCCAGCCAACTTCATTCTAGACCGCGTTGACGTTTCGCGGTTTATTTATTAAGAAAAATTCGTTTGAAATTCCCGTGCGTGATAAGAACGGTGTCCAGGCGAGGAAAAGACCAATAGAGATTGACGAAGACAAAATAAAGACATCGACGAACAACAACAATAATCCGAGAAATTGCTACGAGTTCGTGAAACGGTGTTGTTGTTTCATTGTCATGAAAAGAACGAAATTAACCGAAATCAACAAATTAATCGAGTTCGAAACGAAAAAAAGCGTTTAAGAAAAAGGAAACGGAACGAGGGGGGGGAGAGGAGAGAAGAGAGAAGGAAATCTCTTCGAAATCTCGATACGATGGAAACAGGAGGGAAAAGGGAGGGGGGATGGTGGACAAACGGCGCGTGGACGTTGCATTCCTGCCAATAAATACAATGGGCCACGGGATGGCCGGTAACGGATCCATAGCATGGGATCTATCGAGCATTTGAATCTGAATCGGCCGCCCCTCCCTTCGCTCCGCGTCTTTACTCCGCGAACGCGATTTCCAAAGATTTTCCAACCGTGATCCCGGATGAATAATGGATGGACGATATTAAGAGAGGACCGGCTGTTACTCGTATAAATGGTATATAATACAAGCGAGCGTCTCCTCCCGGCGGGGGAAGGATTTTTCGGGAAAACTTCTCATCGAAAAGTGGATCGATCCCTTTCCCCAAATTATTAATTATCGATCTATTCTCTTTCTCCTGGATCGATGCGATAATCTAAGTATCGAATAAATTGTGCGAATAAATTCTTTTTTTCTACGATCGTAACTTTTCGAATTACTTTACGGCGTTCGTGGCGAAACATTCGAAAGAGCGTTCCAAGAGTCCTGTGCAACGATCTCGAACGATATGGCGCGCATCGTTATTTTCTCGCATTCCAGCTTAGGAGATCGCTACTCGAATTTGGAAATTTTAATTCGAAGAACGACGATCGTTCGAGTGCACCACGGGAATATTTGACGAGTAAGAAGGATCGCTCGACTGAAACGATTGGATAATCTTGCATCCTGATTCGCGTAATAAAATCTTGAATTTGAAAAGATATCTTCGATCGAATTGCAAAATTTCAAGCGCGCAATGTCCGTTTACTCGAAAATTCGCTTATAAAAGTCGCTTACCCGATAAAGGAGGCCGACCCCTCCCCCCTCCCCCCCTTAAAAAAATATATTCAACGTCTCTCGCTATCGCTTCGGGCGCAGCAGCAGGTTTTCGCAAACCACGAACACGGGAGGGAGGAGGGGAAAGGGGAACAGTCTGCCTTATACAACCCTTCCAACCGGATCCTTAAACCGCCGGCTGCCGAGCAGCCATAAAGGCTAAACATTAGGAATCGCGAGAAATTTATCGAGCACGCGCCGGGTATACGGGGTTTGGGGCGAGGCCGCGACTTTTCCTCCTCTCCCTCCTCCTCCTCCTCCTCCTCCTCTTCTTCCTTCTCCCGGGCTAAACTGTAGAAAAATTGAAATGGGCGAGGCGAAAGAATGAATAAAGATCAGAAGAAGGGAGGGGAATGGTGGATCGCAGGCACGGGTGTGCGTGCACAACGCGAATGATATTAGGTAGGAACGCATGAACTTTGATATATCCGTTTTGCGAGAAGGTTAAACGGGCGACGCCAACTCTACTTTTGTGATTTATCCACCGTGATCTTGGTAAATAATTTAAAATTGAAAATGAGCTTTCTCTAATCAATTAACCAGGATATATATATATTTATAATACGATCGAGTATCTTATCTCTTCGACTCTGAAATTGAAACGTCGTAACCGCTTTAAAGATTCTTCGACACCAAGTTGAGAGAGAGAGAGAGAGAGAAGAGAGAGGGGAGGAAGGGAGGAGAGAGATAGGAAGTCGAGTAGAGAGAAAATGGTGGCCGTTAGTTCTTCCGCTCGAGGTGGGATGCATCGAAGAGAATTCGAAGAGAAGGACAAGGAGAAGGAGAGGGAGAAAGAGAGGGAGAGATGGCGGCGGAGAAACAGCGGAAGGCGGAAAACAAGGGAAAAATAAAGCAAACGGAAGAATCGCGTCGCAGGAAAAAGAATGAGGGCGCTGTCAGCTGGTGGAAATTATTCTGATTATGCTAATTCCGGTTTCTGTTCCACTCCTTTACCCGGAGGCGGTCTCCTCGCCCCTCTACCCTCCTCCTCCCTGCCCCTCCCCCACACCCATCGCCTCCTTCCCTGCCTGCGCTGCCGTTGCCGCTGTCTGCGCCATCTTTCATGCCTGATATTTATAATATAGGGGTGCCCGAGCAGTTTCAAACTCTTTTTGGAACCCCTCGAACCCGCTCCTCCCCCTCCTCCTTCTCCACCGTCATTTGGCCCCCTCCATCGAGGACCACCCTCCATCCAGCTACTAGCCACGCTCCACTGTCTTTCCACGGGCTTTCGATAAATTTATTCATATTCCGGACGAGGAAAATTTCGACTCGGGAGGGAACTCGGTCAACCTAGAGAGAG